AGGGAAACCTCTAGACAGGCACCGTTGCAACCATCGCCCTGCAGGTTGACCATGGTGACCACGCCGGTGTAGGCCTGTCCAACAGCACACTCAACGCCCGCTGTGTTGGGCAGAAAGACAACGGCTGGAGCGGAGGGAGGGGATTTTTGTTGTTCCGTCTCACAGGCGATCAATGTTGCCGTTCCAACGAAGTATGTCTCAGTTTCCAGACGACTGATTGTCATTCGCACTTGGTCTCCGATGGCGAAGTAACTGAATCGTTTGAGAGGTTTGACTGGGTGGTTGGAAGATATAAAGGCGTGATTATAGCAAAATACAGTTAAACTGTTGTGGACGATTTCAAAAGGCGTCTAAACCACCATTGAAAAACTCGGTGGCTCTGATGAGGTTCAAACCCGCGACAGAAAACGCACATGGCTTGAGTACAACCAACGCTCTAACCACCCAGAGCGGCGAGATTAATCTCATTAAGGTCTAATTACCCACTTCCCCTAATTCTCATACAGTAATCTGACTGCTCAAACAGGATTTTTTAAAGTAATTAATCCACAATTCATAAGATGACTGCCAGACACACTCAATTAATAAGTATTTTGTGGCATATTTGTATAATTAATCTGAGTTAATCTTGCTCGGGCAGTTCGATTACTGTATCGAAATCGGCGAGGTCCATTCGTTGCAGTAAGATAACTGTACCCAATTATGATCGATAGGGAACCCATAAATTATGGGGTTAGAAGGTTGGTTGTACTCAAGGCGTGCAATTGTTTTAATGGGTTCGGAAGCCATAGAAGTGGCTGCGAAAAGTAGAACAAAATGATTATTCGGCACTTATCAGATAAGGACCGGAAAAAATAAGTTAGTTTACAAACAAAACGTGATATCAGTACAATATCCAACCGCGACAGCTTAGTGGGTGCAATTCCAAGGTGAAGTTGCATAATTCTAGTCCAGGCAGACAAACTTTTGGTTCAAGTTCGTAAAGCGTTTTCTTCAATGGCAAAAGAGCACTAGTTTGAATCACAAGGTCCCTCTGTGGAGAGCTGGAAAAGGTAGAACGACTAGAAATGGCTATTTCAGTTTACTGCGTTTTCGTCAGTAATACTGATAAACCAGGAGATATTTTCTTAGGATAAGTTCTTTCGACAGCGAAAAAGGCGACAAGGATTACGAACCTCAAACTTGGCCCTAGGATGGCAGGAAGAAAGTGTGCGTATATCTGTCCTGATAGTTGTTCAACCAAGTCGAAGCCCTTGGAGGCAAAGTAATGCACTTCAAAGCGTTTGTGTTTAGGTTTAAAGGGGGTTCCTATGTGATGCTAACAAAGGCAGTCAGGCTGGTTTTTATAGCTCTATATTTTAGATTGGTCGGCAGCACAGCTATGTTCGTCACCAGCGAAAACTGTGAGGCCAAAATCAGGTTCTCCGGTTCTCCAGCGTTACTAAGTTATGCTCCATGGATCCTGATCAAAAACTTGCTAAATGACTGTTCCTCAGTGGTAGGGGAGCATCAATGAACAGACCTAAGTTAGCTTGTGAACGTTAGATAAGGTCTCTACGGATCAAGCCATTAAATACCAGGGTAGGAATACCATTAAGACGAGTATCAATGTGTAGCAGGAATCATAGGACTAATCAAAACACAAAATCGTTCGTATTGGCTTATCGCAGCCCTAGCACGTTGAAACATCCCAAAGTACCGATGCGCAACTGCCCTGCCATAAATAACTCACAACCTTTCCCCATCATCGTGATCAACGAGACCTTTCGCTTTTCCCACCTAAATAAGTTGTTACAGACCCACAGACTAGGTATGAGTGTTAGAGCTTAAAAAAATTGGGCGAAATCCAGTAATCTTAGGGCGTCACAACGACAGCTGGCCTTTTGTCAAAAAGATAAAAGGGTAGCTATGGAGTGACGCTCTTGGTGAGAAAACGAGTCTGGTGTCCGCTTTACTCATCTATCTCAAAGTCTTCAATCCAAGGAAGTCCAGAAAAAAAAAACGGGAAATAAAAATATAAGTTTAATAGGCCCATCAAACTAGTAGGATGGCAAAATGCCACCAAAAGAGGCAAGGCGATGTGCCAGGTGCTGGATAAACCGGAGATCTGAACCCAAGTCATTAAATTCCTTGAGTTAGCAAGGGCTTCTAAAACGTCGGCCGGAGGGTCGAAACTCAATGCCTTATTATCGACAGCAGAAATGCTAACATTATCAGAATATAAGTACTTGGAATCTGGGTTCACTGTCTAAGAACTGGGTCGTGTGTATGTCAAGTGTGGGCGGGCTATTTAGCTTTTTCAGTCGCTGCGCTCGAAACTGCCTCAGATCGTCCTCACTCCCTTTTCCCACAGGGCCTGATGCATGAGGGAAAACAATGTGCGCGAAGATGCTGCGCAAATCCACTATCCATTTGAACTGATTCACACGTAAAGTACCGTCCTGCGCCTGTTCGGAACACAGTGGACACCTTCGCATGTGACAGTCGAACTGACAAGTGCTCGGAACGCATTTTGGGACATAATCTGAAGCGAAATAGGCAAGAGTCACATGCGAGTCTGCAAACTGTAAAAGGAGACAGGACAAGTCCACACGGATGGATGACTTGGTCCCAGTGGAAAATACCACGTCTTACGAAACAGATAAATTTAGAGGCTGAAAAACAGGACAATTGGTAGGAGGGAAGGGGTGGTAAAAATAAAACAGTAGGAGGCGCAGGAACGACGAGGTGGCAAAAACGGCAAAAAGAACTACGAA